AGAGGATCCCTGGATGCACGTCAAAACGTCAGGATAGACTCGCAATCTATCCCGACGCATTGACGCACTCTGTCATTTGTTTATACAGCACTTCCGGTCGCAACGCAAGACCATGCGTCATTATGTAAACCAGCCTTAAGTCATCAATCTTCAGACGCACCCAATTTCAGACGCTTTTTTACATGGAAAACATTATCCTATTGACATGAAACTGCAGAATGTTATAGCCGCAACTATCCTTAGCTTGCGTACAAATATTCACAGCACCTGCACAAACAGCTCCAAAGTTATCAGCTCTCAAACATGGCGTCTGAAAATTCCAATCATCAGACAAATCTCTCAAATTTCAGACAATTTCTTTTGAACAGAAAGAAAAAGAAGATTTGAAGTGCTGCTATGGTTAAATGATAGGTATGTCTTTACCCCATAATGGCAAGGTATACTGAGATGATTATCTTTACTCTCGTTTCATAGAAATGCACCAGCTCAAAAGTATCACGTGACATAATCAATTTACGGACTTTTACAAGAAATTATTAATTTATTTTAATAACTTTTGAATAGTTAATGAACACAATAAAACTCGAAATCTTACACTTTAGAGTCACAGTTAAGACAAGCCCATTCATCACCAATATCATGAACTTCAATGCACTTCTTGTGATACCATTCACAGTAAGAATCGCATTGGATCATCTCTTCATCATATATATCAGGAAGACGACAAATACAATACACATCCACTTTGATTGTTTTCTTATGAGAAAATGAAACATGTGCAGTTGTTTTTGGAAAAGGAGTAAAATGGTGGTTTTCTAAACACTCAATTAAATGATGGCGCATTCTATTTTGGTCAAATCTTTGATGTAAAGTGCGACTTCCAAGACATATTTCTAGCGAATAGGCTATTGCAAAGAGCCCACAGTCACGAACACCTAATTGTTGCTGGGTTGAAACTTGTTGTATAATTATAGAGGTCATCTCGGATTTCACTAAGCTTGCTATTTGAATTAAAGTGTGATCATTCAAATCCAACGATTCACCTAAGCTATCCATCACTTTCACTTCCTTTTGAGCTATTTCCACACATATCCAATGATAATTACCTAAAAATGAAAAAGCTATATTGTGCACAAATGTATTATACTTATTATACCTGTATGTAATATTTGTATAGAGTGTGAATCAAATGGAAGAGTATCAAATAATTTCCTTTGTCTCTGACCATTTAAAGTGCTCTGAAATCCTCCTTTGAAAGGAAATTGCTTCTTCAAGATGCTTTGAGCAGCATTTATAATGGTATCTTGTAACATAAACCCTTGAACAATACAGTTAAGGTCCGAAAATTTCAAATTAAGACTTTTCTGCCACCAATGATCTGATTCATCAGCTTAATAGATATAAAATAAAAATGAACAACATAAAAAGATACAAGTACCTTCAATTTGAACAAAATTCCTATTGCTTCGTTCACACTCCAACTGTCCATATACATGCAATTGAGCTAAATGTATAATAAACAATCAAGCATGAGGATACATCACGTACATCTACATTGTACCTTCAGCTTTGTCAGTCCTTCCTCCTTGACTTTGTGTATCTTTACCATCTTCTGATCTACAAGTATTTTCTAGCAAATATACATAGCATAATTACAAGTACTACTAGATGAATGTAAAATTTAAGGACCAAGCAAAGCATAATATATGTTTATAGCTAAGTATAAAAAATACAAAAAGTTGATGCATTGTACAGAGCACCTCACTCAAAATTGAAGGAAATTTGGCAGGGTTCTATCTAGGAATTTTTGTTTGGGGAGGAAGCCCAGAGCAGTTGACCGGGGGGGAAGGTTTCTGTACATACATGTATGTACATGTACAGTACATGCATGCAGTTACAGAAGTACACAGGGGGGAAGCTTGAAGTTTTGGGGGGGGGGGAAGATGAAGAGTTTAGGGGAGAAGCTTCCCATCCACCTGTGAGGATTTATGAGTGATTTATATTCATTGTGCTTATTGATTGTCAGTTATTATTAATTATTAGTTCATTATTATTCATGAATGTATTTTGTATATAAGAGAGTAATTTTTGTGCGCCATTAAGGCAGTGTGTGTGCAGTGTGTAGAAGTGTGTGAGCGTAGTCTGAGTGTTGAGTCGTTGGGAGATAGTGTGGCACTATCTATCTTTATTTGATATTATTGTTTGAACCAGTAAAGCTGGTATATTATTTGAAAGAGATTCTGTTGAAATATAAGTTTTGTGAAATTGATAGCGAGCCCTGCATTGGCGAGCTAACTAGTGAATCCTGAGCTGAGCTGACTACTAAGGAAGCAACTATATAGATGGGCTGGACGGCATCCCCGAATCCCTAGAGAAGACGCCGTGACAATTTGGTCCACACTGATCCGGATTTGACTGAGCGGCCTAGGATCTGGAACTGGTAGTAACTCTGTTGTGACGGTCTGAATACAGTCCTGAAGTTGCGGCCTTGGTAGAGTACCTCCTAAGGGAGTGGTGAGTCTGTTCTTCAAGATATTGCAATACAGGAAGGGCTGGTTTTTTGTATACTTACCTGTTGCTTTACGCCATATTTTCACTTCTTTGTAAAATTTAAATTGTATTGTTGCACGCACGTGGACTCGCAGTGGGTCTTGTGGTTAATTTGTTGTTATAGTGTTAAGTAAACTTTGCCTACCTCCTCTGTCTGAGAATTCATTTTTGTTTTTATAATGGCTGATCTTGCTGTTTTGAAGAGAACTCGAGGTGGGCATCGTGCGATAGCCACTCGAAGAGTAAAGGAGGTGTCTGATCTCTTTGCTGCATCCCCTGGGCCTGATGAAATCAAACTTGGGCAATTGAAGCGTGGCCTTCAGGATACTTTTGATTCTCTTAAGAAATTTGATGAACAAATTTTGCCTCTTGTTGATCCGGGAGTATTGGATAAGGAGATTGAAGATTCGGAGCGAATCAAAGATGAGCTGTTCCTTGCCATGTCTACTGTGGATCATGCTCTCTCGACATTGCCACCTCCTACCCCTGTTAGTACAGGTAGATTAAGTCCTGTTAGACCTCCTGTTGTTTCTGCCAAACTGCCTAAGCTGATGTTAAAGTCTTTTAATGGAAGTCTAGTTGCATGGACCTCATTTTGGGATTCCTTCAAATCGGCCATTCATGATAACCCCAGCTTGGCAACCATTGATAAATTTTCTTATTTGCAGTCTTTATTGGAAGGGAAAGCCAAGGAAACTATTGCAGGCCTTGCCCTTACTGATGCCAACTATTCTACGGCGATTGACTTATTGGAGAAGAGGTTTGGCAGCAAGGAGAGGATTACTGCAGCTCATATGGACGTACTGATGAGCCTTGATGCAGTTTCTTCTGATCATCATATTTTCGAGCTTCGTCGCCTGTATGACAAGACTGAGTCTACAATTAGGAGTCTATCTGCATTGGGAGTACCTGTGGACTCTTAAGGAGCATTGCTGGCTCCTGTGTTCATGAAGAAACTTCCATCTGAGCTCAGACTTGCTATTGCCCGAAAGGTTCCAGCAGATGATTGGAACATGACAAGGATACTGGAGGTGCTGTTAGCAGAGGTAGAAGCTAGAGAGAGGGCCTCCCTGCCTAAGACTAAACAGAGTGGTTTTACACCAAAGCGTGGAAGGGATTTTCCCACTACTGCCACTTTTACTGGAGGTAGCCAGAGTGGTTGCTGCTTTTGCCAGAAAGAGGACCACACACCTGCCCAGTGTACTAAGGTCACTGGAGTTGATGAGAGAAAGCGAATGATTAGAGAGCAGGGCAGATGCTTTGTTTGCCTCCGCCCAGGTCACATTAGTAAGCACTGTCGCTCTTCAATGAGCTGTGCTACTTGTAGAGGGAGACATCACTCTAGTGTATGTATGAGGAACTCAAAGCCTAAATCAGGCCAGAGGCCTCCTACTGCTAGAGATGGTGCTTCCCCACATTTGTCTAAGGGGCTTAATCCAGAGACCCCTCCATTTGAAGGATCAAATACGGGTGCCACATTCTATACTAGTTCTAGAGAGTCTACTCTCTTGCAAGTGGCACGCGTCTTTGCCTTCAATCTAAATGAGCCTGGTAATAGAATGTCTTTATATGTCCTATTGGACAGTGGGAGCCAGTGCTCATATATTACTCGAAGTGCATGCCAGAGGTTGGGATTGCCATCTCTGGGCACTAAATCAGTTTCTATAATGACCTTTGGGTCTAGAAAGGAGTGTCGTACTGAATGCCATGTTGTAAAACTGGGTCTTGAGCTTAAAAATAATGCTCATATGGAGCTTAAGCTGCTCACAGTTAGCCACATTTGTGAGCCTTTGATGTATGAAGCCATAGATTTGAATAAGTATCCTCATCTGAATAATTTGGACTTTTCTATTCCATTGGATCATTGCAAGCAGATAAAGCCAGACATCTTAATTGGATCTGACCAGTATTGGTCTCTACTTACAGGGGAGATAATGAAGAGTAACAATGGACCTGTTGCTCTAAACTCATGCTTTGGCTGGATTTTATCTGGTACTGCTGCTGTGAAACAGTCTAGTGCACGGAGTGCTACTATGGTCACCCATGTTTTAAGGGTTGATGGTGTCCATGAAGACATGAGCCTAGAACATAGATTACATTCCTTTTGGGAGATAGAATCTTTAGGAATTTTGGAAGATGAGAATTTAGTGCAAACTCAATTTGGTGGTCATGTGAAGTTTGCTAATGGTAAGTATGTTGTTTCCCTGCTGTGGAAAGACTCTTGCATTTCTCTTGCTGATAACTATCAGCTTTGTTTACGTCGATTGAGTGGTTTGTTTAAGCGCCTGAAGAGCTCTCCTGAGTTATTGAAGAAGTATGATGATATCATTAGAGAGCAACTAGCCTTGGGAATTATTGTCCCTGTTGAGAACTCTGAAGAATGCAGTGTGGCTCGTATACACTATTTACTGCATCATTGTGTGTTGAGACAGGATAAGTCTACTACAAAATTAAGAATTGTATATGATGCCTCTGCTAAGACTAACGGTCCATCATTGAATAATTGCCTCCATATAGGACCTTCATTGCATCAAAAGGTTTTTGATATTCTTTTGAGATTTAGGATGTGGCCTATTGCTATCGTGGCTGATATAGAGAAAGCCTTTCTTATGATTCAGGTGGCAGATGTAGATCAGGATGT